GGATTAATCATTGTGGCAACTTCCTTACCTTTTTGATCTTGACCATCTTGCTCCATCACCATTCTTGGAGTGTGGTTTTCCTTGATCCCATCAGAATTCCTCAAATCCTTCCGAAGCCCACCACCACCATCAATCTGAAGATTAGAGCTTCCTGCCCCATTCCTTGCCCATATTTATCCTCACTTCTGTCATTGTGTTGGTAGCTCTCCCTGGATCTATCTATCTCCTCATCTTTTTTCCTATACTGGAATTTCTCTCTGCCCCTCTATTGAATCCCCCCCCCCATATCCACCAAACCCTCTGTTCATCATCTCACTTTCTTCTCCCTCTTTTTGCTCCGGAGGCAGAGGGGGAAACCCTAATGTCATGAAGGGGTCGCACTCTCCCTCAAGTACAAGGATAGGCTCGTACTTATACGCCTGAAGGCCCTAGAAAGCGTATTTTCCAAACCCGTATCCTTCCTTTTTCCCATATTGCCCTCCAATTGAGGTCTCTTTATTTTTCTCCCCGAAATCAGAAGTATATTGTCCTTTCTTATCAGAGATCATAGCACCTCTAGTAACTGTACATTTATCAATTCTCATGTATTTTATATATACCACCTCATTAGACCAGAAATCTGGAATTCATGCATATTGTTTCCTTTTCATTTTTTCTGCAATCCTCTTCCACAAAATTACTTGGTCATGAGTGATCTTGTAGCTGTTACCTCGATTGAGGACCGCACAAAATTGAGTTTTATCTCCGATCATTTCTTTTCTTACATGGCGAAATCTGCCTCTGTTTGTTCCTTATGTTCGTCCCCAATTTTTACAATCATCAACGTGAAGTAAATATTTACTAGTTTTAGTACCCGTACCTTCAGAATCCGGCGAGGCCCCAGCCTCCTCGTCGGAATCCTCTCCGGCCAGCAGCCAAAAACGACTGTCAGCCGGAGAGGTTCCTACTCCGCCCCCACGAAGGAGGCCAGGTGAAGCAGGCGGGAAGAGCACCTCAAGAACCTGGGGGAGCGCCTGGGTAGCGTTGTCACCGCTCTTCAGCTTGGTCGACTCCACTGCCCGATCTGCCTCGTCTCTGCTATCGCCCCCTCGCCGTCTTCTGGACCGGAGTGGATCTCCATCGGACGCATCTTCGAACCGATAGCAGGGGCGGGGAGCGCCCTTACCGCACCTACCACTGCTTCCTCTGGGTCCGCGGGAGCAGCGCGCCTGGATCCGAACTCTCTCCACTTCCTCGCCTGCTTAGGGTCGTCGGAGGCCACCTCCTCCATAGCCCATAGCCTCATCCTCATCGCCCCCACCGCCCCGCCGTCTGGGGACAGTCGAACGTCTTCTTCTTTTGTAAGCATCTAGAAGCCTCGCGTGGCCGCTGCCTTCAAATCCCCCTTCTCCGGGAACCAGGAGAGGATCTCCCTCATCTTCTCCATCTTCTCTGCATCTCCACCCGCAATCACCGTCATCTTCGCCTCGAGCGACCGCTTCCAGGATGCCATCGAACCCTAGGGCAGTATGTGAGATCAGGGGGAGGGGAATTTTCTCTCTCAGCGCCTGCGGGAATAGTGAATGGAATCACCGCCCCCCTCCCCCCCCCCCGACCCGCATTTAAGTCACGACCGCCATGGCGGTCCGTCTCCTCCTCTCCCTCGATCCCCACGCCGCGCCTCGTCTCGCACGGTTTCCTTCCCACCAACGCCACATGGCATGGGAACGAGATCTCCATACTTCCTCGATCTCTTCCCACAGCCGCAACACTCGCGCATCGACGCAGCCGCCTCGATTATTGAGCAGCAGTAGGCGACGAACACGAGCTCAACGGACCAGGGTCCCTCGCCGGAAGACCAGTAGGGCCGGCGTATGGAGGTCGGAGACCAGGTGCACCGCCCATCGTTGATCGCCACGGGAGACGTGACACATCTCTCGTGCCCTTTTTCTTGTAATTTCTGTTACCTATGGTATTCTTTGTACGGCCATGATTGGTTATGAATAGTAAAGTTTCTCCCAAAAAAACAGAAGAAGAATGAAGCCAGTGTAAAACTGAAAAACCGAATTTACGAGAAATAGTGTCTGGATGCTATGAATAGAAAAAGAAAACGTAAAAGGAAAGGTAAATGTAGTAAAAAGTATTAGCGCCACACCACTGTGTTTTGGGATATATTTTTGACACTCTAGCAATGTACAGGTATTTAGCTAGAAGTAGGTTAAATACGCTGCTCAACGAGACAGTGCAATGCCCAATTGTCTGCAAATATCACAGTTTGCGGCACTGAAACATCGCGCTGCGCGAACTCGCAATCGAGCAGTTTTACGGTGAGATTCAAGCTCTCTAAACCATGCTACAAAACGCGACATGCTCTTTTTCGTTACGGTTCAAATGTTAGATTTGAAACATTCCCGGGAATTCCTCCTCATATCATGACCTGATTGAATCGGTCGGAAAGCAAAAGGCACACATGTAGGGGCTCATGAGCAACGCCTAGTGCTCGCCCAAGTGGGCCATAAGGCAAATTCTTGTGCTGTCAAATGTCATTCTTCGGGGGGGGCCATAACCATAGCCCATGGCCAAAGATGACAGACATGTGACGATAAGGAATCTGAATGTTTTGTGATTTGGATTCGCATTGCCACATGACATGTTGACATGCCGTGTCGCCTTGCCGTACG